TAATTTAATAGCCATACATCATCTTTCTAACATCCAAATGCCTTTTGAATAAGTAGATGTGCTACTAACTGCCACCAGCAACCAAACTGCCTCAGCATTCCAAATAAACTTTCAATTTTATATGTGTATTTTATACTCTATTTCTATCTGTCAATATAGTTGATATCCAAAAAGTTGTTTCAATACATTTTCTGTGTTATTCCTCTCCTCGTAAATTGATACAGAGAGTGTCTGTAGCAAAGCAGTCGTACTGGGCTCACAACTATGTGGAAGTTTAGGAGCATATGTCAGCTTTGTTATAGCTGTGGGCAAATAATTCATGAAACAGTTTTTATCCTTGGTCAGCTTATATTCAGTAAAAGCTACATATTGGACTTATTTTAAATAATTCTGAATATAAATAAAGTGATATCATCTATTTTTTTTCTTGATAAACATGGAACACAGACGCCAAGTCCCAGGAAATTGTTTATTCCTCTAATAGCACAGTGGTGCTGTTCCCATCACCTGCTGTTTCGGACGTCTAGCAGCTCCCTTGTTCGTCTGAGGAGAGGTTGCTGGTCTTCTCAGTCATTCACTGAGTATCCAAGAACTTACCCCTGCTAAGAGCACACAGGTCTTTAATGTCTGGAGAACATTTCAGCAACTGTTTTTACTTTCTATAAATCTTTCATAATAAAGTTATATCCCATACTGTTTATTATTAATTTTCTTGGTTATAAGGAGTAGTAATAAAATACTTGGTTCCCCCAAATTTGGTGAATTTCCTGAACACCAAGATACAACACATCACATCAGTTTTTCTAACTTTGGATAAAATCACTATTTTCTTGTAAATTTGACTCTTTAAAATCTTTTCTCATGGGGATGGAGAAATGGCTCAGCAGTTAGAAGCACTGGTCACTCATGCAGAGGACCCAGGTTTGATTCCCAGCACCCACATGGCAGCTTACAACTGTCTGTAATTCCAGTTCCAGGGAAATCTGATGCCCTCTTCTGACCTCTGCAGGCATTATGTGACACAGGTGCACTTATATACATATAGGCAATACACTCATACACATAAAAATAAAATAAAGTATTTTTTAAAAGAAAGCTTTGCTCAGATCTGAAATCTCTTCAGTATAGGGGCCACATATGTTTCAGAACTCATTTTTTTAAATTAAAGAATAATATATCACCAGGTAATTAAATGTATTAATACTTTTGTAGAAAATATAGGAATACATAAGGTATATAAATAGCCTTAGATTCATTGAACACATTGAGTTTGTATCTAATTTATGAAAAGTCTTTCTGTTCTCGTGTTGTGAAGATTTCAAAGTTGTAGATATAATACTATATTTGTAACATAGGCATTCAAAATTTTCCTCTATTTGTTTTTTCAGAACTTAGTACTTTTATTTGTTATTTACCTTTTTATTTTAAATATATTTTTGTTGAAGTTTTGTGCATTTTATACACATCTAAGTCCTCTTTATGCCCTCTTCTCCCTCAGTACCCTCCCATTACCCCCGCACCCAACACTGGATTTCATGCATTCTGTCATTTATGTTAAGGCCTATGTAGTCAAATCAGTGTCTCCTGATGCCCCTCAGTGCTAAGTTCATCCACTGGGCTCTAGTCAGCCCATCTAGAGTCACTCCCTTAAAGAAGATAAACTCTTCCTCATCCATCAGTAATCAGTTGCTCAATAGTTCTTTGCCTAAGATTCAGGCCTGCTGTCCATTTCCACAGTTCTGTGCTAGGGTTTTGTCTGCTTGAGTTTGCAGGGTCTTGTGCATGCTGACACCATTGCTATAGGTTCATGTGAGCAAGGTCCCAGGAGCCTGTAGGACTCTATTTCTATATGGTCATGCAACTCCTCCCTGGCTCTTGCAATATTTTCATCCCCTCTTTCACAATGGTCCCTGAGCCCTGGGTTCATTGCCCTCTGTTGCATGAGGGAGCTTCGTTGATGAGAGTTGAGAGATGCATTAGTATTTTTTCTACCCTTCGTTCTGGATGTGCCATGAGTCTTAGGTGTAGAGGTTCCATTGTAGATGTGTCATTTAGGGCTGGGCATTTCACAGACAACTCTGTGTGTGACCAGTTGTGAAAGTCTATAATAATCTTCTTTTGTTGCAAAAGATCCCTCAGCCTCACCTACTGCCCACATCAGCCTCTGCTAGTGCCACCTCATATTGCCGCCCAAGCTGTGGCAGGTGCCAGGGCTGCACTCACTGTCTGTGCTGCAGCCCAACATGGCATTGCACATGAGGCCGGCCACCAGCACTGTCACAGGTCTGGGGCTTTCCTCTAGGACTCCAGCTGTATGTTGGAATCAACCCCCAGGACTGGCATGGCACCAGTACCTATCCATACCCATTACCACCAGCCAGAGTCACCTCATGCCCCACCCTCATCTTGGAGCTCACCAGGCCCCCACCCCACTATCAAGACAATCTGGGGCCACAGCCTGCTTGCGCCACCCGCCCCGCCAAGTTTTAATGCAGCCCCAAAAAAGATCAAGGCAGAGAACCCTAGGGTCCTCCTGTTTTCGTTGTCACCTATGCCATCCTGGACTCTGGTGAGAACTCCAAGGACGGCAAGACATACAAGTGTAAGGTATTTCCCAGTCATCTTTTTCACCAAGTCTGAGTGCAAATCCACTCCAAGTCACACACAGAGGCTAAGTCCCACAAGTGCCCTCACTGCCCCAAGTCCTTCGCCAAAATCTCCTACCTGGCCCAGCACCTGCGCATCCACCTGGGTGTGCTGCCCTACCACTGCTCCTACCATAATAAGTCTTTCCTACAGCTCTTCCACACCCAGCAGCACACCAGAATCCATATTGGTGACAGACTGTACAAGTGCCCATATCCTGACTGCAGAAGGCTTTCACTCAGTTCTCCAACCTCCAGTTTCACCAACTCCAGCACAAAGACAAGTTCTAAAAGTGTCTCAGCTGCTCCCCAGCCTACTGAGACTTGCCTCCCCCCAGATTTACCTCTTGGCCCACGCCATCAAACATGCCAAGGCCTACTGCTGTAGCACGTGTGAGCTGGCCTATACTTCCGAGACCTACCTGATGAAGCATATGTCCAAACGCACAATGGTGGAGCACCTAGTGAATCATCGCTCTCCCCAGAGGACCGAGTCTCCAGGCGTGCCAGTGCCAGTTACTCTCGTCTGAGCCCACCTGTGGTTCCGCCCCACCTGGCCCACTTGGCAGCATCTGGCCTAACTCCCACTGGGGCCTCCAGGAACCATTAAGCTCTCTAGTGACCATCCCAACCTGCCAGAAAGCTTGGTCTGAAGAAGTCCTGCCTGGTCCCCAGGCCAACTGCAAGATTCTGGACTGTTTTTATGGCATCCAAAGACGATCTCAGAGCACTTTGAACCTGTCTGTTGGGTTTTCTTTTTGTTCCCCATCCCTCACTTACTTCACTGTTTATTGTTTTTAAGTTTGTTTTGGGAATAACAAAAAGAATATTTATTGGCCAGAAAGTTGGCATTGCTAAGATTGAAAAGTTAAACAGACTGGAAGGACAGGTACAGAGAACCGGAGACCAGCGAGGGACCTTCACTGGTCATAGCCTCAGGTCCTGAGGGAAGGCTCAGGCCTGGGTTTTGGACTTCAAAGGGGATCCCCCACCCCGTGGGAAGAGGCAGGAGGCAGTTGGAGTGAGCCCTTCCATTTGGGTGCCCAGCTCAAAGAGTCTGAGCCTTGCCCTGGGCTCCACTGAGTAAGGCTGCCTGGCTTCAGGGCATGGAACTAAGAGGGTGGGGAGAGCCACAGGACCAAAGGACGCAGTAAGGGTTGGGTGGCAAGTCCAGGAAAACGGGGTGGGAGGTGGTGGGTGAGATCTGGCCCCTCCCCTGCTGCCTTGAAGACCACCCCAATCTACCTCTGTGCTGGCCGGGAAAACTTTTGGCTACTTCTCCCACCACCCCAGACTGTGGGCAAGGGGATTTCGAGGGAGTGGGCCTGGGATCTCTTATGTACAGGTAATTCATGTCCTGGAAATTGACCTTCTTACTCTTTTTGGCATAGCCCTTTAATCTTTAAAACCTTTTATATACACATGAATATTTAACTTTACTGAAAATGATGATCTCAAGGAACGAATTCCAGCTGTTATGAGGCTCATGAATGGTGTGATATCAAGTGATTTTTTTGTCCCATGGAAGAAGAGGCACAAAAAGAATTCTAGCAAAAGGCCTTAAAGTCTTGGGATTTTTCCTTCTAAGCTCTGGCATCAGTTACAGCTGGATTCAGGGAGTCGTTAAAGGAGTGCTGACAGTTCTTAATGCACAGTGTTTATTAAATAATTTATTTAAAAATCTTAAAGAAGCAGAAGGCAACTTCCATTAGTCATGGGACTGTGAAAGTTCTAGAAGCCAGTCTATAAAAAAAAGCTGATTTAGCAATAATAACAGAAAGATACAAAAAGTTTGACTGGGGTGGTGGGCAGCAAGTAGAGATTAAGCCCTGAGGATAGGATTTTAAATTGATAGTACAAAACTTGATGTCAACACTGAACATTAGCATAGAGATTCATGAAGGGAATTCTAGATGACCAGTACGTGACAACTACAGAATACAAATCTAGAATTTTGAAAGACTCCAACAAGAATACATGACATCTCACAGCATGTTAACTTACTTGGTTTAAACTAGCTCCATGGTCCCAAGTATAACCAGCATACATGACTTGACATAATAGAAAA